AAAAAAATTTTAAAAGTAAACTGATTTTTATATTTATTTTAGTATGATATAAGAAAAGGTAAAAATTCTGACTTTAATCTCAGAATTCTGACTGAATTCTGACAGCTAACAAACATGTCAGCATCAAGCCGTAGCCATGTCTGTTTTAAAGACTAAACTAGCTCTCTTGTTTTAATCACCTTCTGTTCTTCCATTAATGAAATAGTATCACTGGGGACCCCTCTGGCATGTTAAAAGTCACTTAATTCCATCATTTTCCACGTGTTACTGGCCCTCCCAAACAACTCACATCTTTTTCACTGAAGCTGAGTCCTCCCACATCTCTTCCTTCATGGTGCCCATCTACATTAAGATCCAAAATTCTGAGATTAAAGTCAGAATTCTGAGAAAAAAAAGTCAGAATTGTGAGATTAAAGTCAAAATTCTGGGGTTAAAGTCAGATTTCTGAGATTAAAGTCAGAATTGTGAGATTAAAGTCAGAATTCTGAGATTAAAGTCAAAATTCTGAGATTAAAGTCAGAATTCTGAGATTAAAGTCAGAATTCTGAGATTAAAGTCAGAATTCTGAGATTAAAGTCAAAATTCTGAGATTAAAGTAAAAATTCTGACTTTTTTTCTCAAATTACACTGAAATAAAATTCAACAATTAGTTACATAAAAAAAAAATTCAGTGGCCTGGCCCTAATCCTTTTTACATAGTAATACTATGAGAATTAAGTAACAAAATCACGAGAATAGTCACAACAAGAATAAATATTATCATATTAAGACTTGAAATAAAATTAACAAAAATATCCCTAGCCTGGCCCCAATACTCTGCCGTACTAAATAACATAATGTTTATATGTAGAATAAATAATAATGTATGTACGTAATTTCATTGCAACCACTATCAGGTAATGTTTCTACAACTATAACAAATCAACATAAATCTAAAAGTATTTGTTGGATTTTCTGAAAAATATGGTGACCAAATTTGAGTGTAGTCAGAGAATCATCATCTATTTAACCAGGAAGAATCAGCAGCGCCCTCTAGTGGTCAAGCCTACCCTCTTCCCCGATCGTCTGTTCTCTCGCGAGATTCTGCGAGTTCTTCTTGTGGTCCAGCATGGCAGCGCTGTGTGAGGGATACACGTTGTGCGGACTCGTTCCAGCTTTAAATCAACTAAAGTCTGAAATTCAGGGGATCGAAGAGGAGAGGGACTGTGACCATGTGATCGTGACTGATTCTACCAGATCCGTGACTCTATATAAGGTCAGATTTAGGCTTTAGTGCCTGTGGCCAGGTGATCGGTGCAGACTGGTGTTAGCATCCTGTTCTAGTCTAAATAACAGATCCGTTACATTTTATCATCTCCTTCCTGAGTCTATCGCTCTTATTTTATAGTGTTTGTTTATCTTTTTAATTTGAAAACGATGCCATTGCCGCCAGAAGCAGCTCTTTAGAAAGTCATCAGTTTATGGCAGTGGGACACATTTTGGCTAATGTTAGGTTAGCTTTCCTCAACATGAAAGCTCCTTTGATCAGAGGCAGTTTTATTTTGCAGTCGGTGTTTTAAAGTTGAATCTAAACTTTTTTTTAAATTTTTTTACTGATAGCCAAAATGTTTGATTCCAGATGTTTTCTCTCATATGTTGCTGCAGGTTTCAGATCAGAAGCCTTTAGGCAGCTGGACGGTCAAACAAGGACAAACTCTTACCTGTCCAGCAGTTTATAACAGGGAGACCAATGAGTATGTGGCAGTCTCTGACAACAAGGTAAGCAGCAAATAGATATGCAGGTTTATAAGAAACAAATCCACTGATCTTTGCTATGCATCGCTTATAGAATAGAATAGAAAGTCCCTTTAATAATAACAATGATCATACATTTTATTTCAAGGAAGCCTTTCTGGACAATCAAGGCCACCGTACAAAAGATAAAAACACAATGGTAGAAACAAAGTCAAAACACAGAATAAAACCATTTAAAAATTACAAAGAGATTAATATTACAGAGAATATGCCATTTTAAAGAGATGAATTGTGATTTGAAATGGAGGAGTGAGTCCGTGTTTCTAAGTAAGGGTGGTAGAGGGTTCCAGAGGCGGGGGCCACTGCGGCTGAATGCTCTGCTCCCCATGGTGGTAAGACGGCCAGAAAGAGAGGTATGATTCAGTTCAATCCAGTTTATTTATACAGCTCCAATTAACAACACATGTCATCTTAAGGCACTTTACAGTTCACCAGATCATACAGTCAAACTGATTCAAAGTTTTCTATTTAAGGAAACCTGTTGATTGCATCGTCTCATTGACTCCAATGCAATCCCTCACACTAGGCATGCTTGTAGTGACAGTGGAGAGGAAAAACTCCCTTTTAACAGGAAGAGACCTCCAGCAGAACCAGGCTCAGTGTGAGCGGCCATCTGCTGAGGCCGACTGGAGTTCAAGGAGACAGAAGCAGAGATACAAAAACCAACTGTAAAAGGCGGCCCGTTCCAGGAAACACACAGCAAGAAAGGCGAGCTCTGAACCAGCTCCCATGTCAGATGATAAACAGTCCGAGTAACAGGGCTACACTGAAAAACAGGTGGATCTCAAATATCTGTAAACAAAGGTATAAAGCAGAGGGGTGGGAACATGCAGAAAGCCTGACAGATGGGGGGATTTATTGTTGCACAATGGGGGAAATTCTGCAAAAAGATTCTAGAAAAAATGGTCACATAAATGTGGACTTGAGAAAAATGTATAACAATAACATAATAGTGAAGAATATTGAACTGTAAAGTGTTTTAATAATATGAAACTGTGCCCCTGCAGAATAAATAACTAATATTCAGCTATGGACATTTTAACAGTAATGGATATTTGAAAATAGCTGCAACATCAGAGATGTGTAAAATGACCGCAGCATGTTATTTAACTGACTAAGAAAGAACCTGTGCAATGAATAAATTACTGCTTTGGTTTGTATATTTTGTATTTATATTCCACTAAATCCTTTGGCTTATATAGTGGTGTTAGGGAACTGAGTTGGAATTAAAAATGTTGTCCTTACCTGGCTGGTGTTAGGGTTGATCTTCTAATGTGTAGATAAAATAATGCAAGTCCTTTAACTTTAGCAAGCTGGCGGTTGTTTCATTCTTTTATTTGCTAGTTTGTCTGATTTTTGGAGGATCTCTCATTAAAAGGTCTGAGTAATGTTTTGTTTTTTCTTCAACAGGAATCTGAATTTGAGACCTGTGAGGATTTTTTAGCATGTTAAAGATGCCTAATGGTCGATGAAAGACTTGCTGTATAAAGCTAAATGTTACTAAATCATGTTTTTGTTTAGTTTTTTACTTTAGTTTATCACATTGCTGTTATTTGTTCCTGAAAACTTCCACCTTCGATTCATCGGTCATCTTTTTTTTCCAAGTTACTTTGTTCCTATTAAAACTGCCTCATAATGCTCAGATAGAAATAAATCCTGGATTATTTTGTTTTCTCAAATTATTTTTATTTTTTCCCCCCATTTTCTTTCAGGTGGTGAGAATTTGGAAAGAAGATGACATTGTTTTAGATAAAGCTTGCAAGGCGGCAGTAAGTCGCTGTTACCTTTATTCACTGTTTCTAAG